GAAGGCGCCAGTGAAGCCTGGCAGGCGTTGCAACTAGACATGCTCGTGAAGGCTGCCCTGAAGAAACGATGTCGAGAAGTCGAGACAGTGCCGCTCGTAGTCACACTGTACTGCTACGTGTAGCAGCGCCCGAAGAGTAGTCATCTTCGGGGTCAGGTTGAAGGTCTGAAAGAAGTCAACACCCTCGCGCTGACTGAAGCCTCTAGCAACGTAGCACGCCTTGAACACCGGCGACTCTCCAGGAGGGCGCTTCACCTTGAAGAGCCACCGGCCATCGACTACGTTCACCCTAGGTGGGGGAACTGCATCAACGAAGGTGCCGGTGGATCTCTAAGATGCCATCTCTGCGTTCATGGCAGCTATCCATTGAGAGGCCCAGTGTCCCGAGGTCAGCTCAGCGTAAGTGCGAGGGGTCGGGATGTCAAAGGCGTTTGGGTCACCATGAGGGACTAGCAGCATGGAGTAGAGATGGGGAGCAGCCTCGGACAGAAAAGCAAGCTCGTACTGCCGGTCCTCCAGGACGTCAATGCCAAGGGCAGGAGAACCCCCGACAAACAGAGAACGTGCAGGGTCAGTGACCAAAGCAGTGGCGTATTCAAGGCGAGCGGTAGAGGTGAAGTCAGCGACTGCAGCGACAAGCGCAGAAAGACTCGAGACAGGAACAGACAGGTTGATAACGAGAGAGGCAAGGACCCAAGGAACAACAAGACGAGCAGCAAGAATGTAGTCTGACAGAGGAGGCGGAGCGACGACAAGCGCCGACAGAGGAGGCGACGGGAAGAGGGGAGGACGAGACGCGTGGGAACGAAGCAACATAGGGTGAGAGCGTGGAACAGGGGAAACAGGACGAGCACAGGAGGGGCGACGAGACCAGACATGAGACGGAGGCGTCGGGTCAGGAGACCGAGGAGGAGTAACAGGAGGGGAACGAGGTGGGAAACGGGCCGGGGACGAGTCCGGCGGAGGAAACACAGGACCGTGGACAGGAAGGGGAGGAGGCGGCGGGGGAGGCGTAGGCAAGGGGCAGGGGAGGGAAGGCCGAACAGGCGAAGGGCGGACACCTGCAGCGACTGCTGCTGCTGCTGCTCAACGCCAGCTCCTGGACCGCCAGCTACACCACGGCTACCTCTAGGACACTCCACTCCAGCACTCCCAGAACGAGCACCCCTAGAGTGAGAACCCTCTCCAGCACCAGTGCCACCCCCGAGGCCAGGGGGACAAGGCAAGACAGGAACCCCAGGACTAGCACCCTCCTCAACGCCAGCACCCCCAGAGTCCAGCGAACGGCTGCTACTGCTGCGATAGCAATGTGAGTGAGGTATCCCCAGATGTGTCACCAGGAGACCCGGTCCAGAGGAGGGTCGGTAAAACCTGCAGCCGCTGGGAGTGGGGCCACAGGTTCAGCTGGTGAGCGGCGTAGCGAACAGCGAACGGCCACGAAAAATGGGGTGCACCGCCATGGATCATGGAGGTACGAGCCACCTCCATGACCAAGCGGATGTTTCGCTCAGTGACCCCATTCTGCTGTGGGGAGTCTGGCAGGGTGTACGAATGGGTGATGCCCTCCGCATGACAGAACCGGCCAAGCCGACCGGAGGCAAACTCGCCGCCACGGTCGGAGTGGAGACACAGCACGGGGAGAGCGCGGCAAAATTGCGCAGCTATGAACCACGGGATAAGAACGTCAGGCATGTCGGCCTTCCGCTCCAAGAAGCGGAATCACCGTGGTGTAGCGCGTGTAGTCGTCGACAAGCACCAGGAAGTAGCGCTCTCGACGCGGCCCAGGGACAGGGGCTGGGCCCCAGACGTCCAAGTGCAGGGTCTGGAGTGGCACGTGGCAGGGCGAAGCGAGGAAGAGTGAGGTGCACGGTGCAGCCGGCCCTCGACGTAAGGAGTGCACAGCGGTGTAGGCGAGGGAGGGAGGGAAGGGAGTGACGCAGGGAGACCTAGGAAAAGACCGTGCTGGGACATGTGACGTAGACACGGGAGTGCAAGGTGACCTAGGCGGTGGTGCCACAGCAGCGACGAGTGAGTGAGCGACCGACACGAACAAGCCGCAACGACCTGGGTCGACGTAGGTACCTGAGGGGATGCCCTCACCGGGGGGGATGTAGTGTCAAGCGTAAACAGGCCGGACGCAGGGTCCTGGGGGAATGTGGTCAGAGGAGCACTAGTGGCGGTCTCGGTGCAGACCACGTACCGCTCGTGTCCAGGGAACGTAGTGGTGACGCCGAGGTCCTGGAGACAGCCGACACCAACTAGGTTCCTAGAGAACAAGGGGATGTGTAGGCCTGTAAGGGTGTTTGAGGGGACCGCCAGACAGGGAAGGGTGGTGGAGCTACGTGCAACTACCGGGCCTGTCGAGGGGTCTGCAAGTGCGACGGCGGCAGGGGCGGCCAGCGGTGTAAGGGAAGTGTGGTCGCGGAAGAAGCTGGTAGACGCACCAGAGTCAAGCATGAAGGAGAGTGAAGAGCTAGCGGTAGCCTGCGGAGGGGCTAGTATGAAGCCTAGGCTAAACAAGGCAGACGGTCCTACGCTTGACGCAGCAAGGGAGCCTAGACTACACACAGTGGACACACCTACGCTAGGCAACACCAAGTAATAGGGTTTAATCACACTAGAGTCATCAGCATACACGACAGACATAGCATTCCTAATATGATCCATGCCAAGCTCAAAGACCAGCACACGATGGTGAGCCAGAGCGTACCAGTCCGGAGGGTCCGACGTAGGACCGAAGCGGTGGCGGAACAGGTCGTCCAGGTGGTGGTAGCATTGGTCGGTGGTGTGGCCGGGCTGGAGGCAGACAGTGCCGCGGCGAGGGCCGGTCTGAAGCTGGTACTGGCAGGCGACCATGCTGGAGCTGGCACCCGACACCGAGCTGCGCCCGCCCCCCCCACGATCACCGCCTCTAGCGTCGCCAGTCCACCATGGCGGGGGGGGTCCCCACGGCGACTACTGCTGCTGCGACGGCTGCTGCGGCTGCTGAGTCTGCTGCTGGTGCTGCTGAGGCTGTGTCTGCTGCTGCGACTGCTCTGGGACACCAGCCCTGGTCCCCTCGTCTTAACCACCGTCCCCGCCCTCACCGCGGCCACCCTCCCCACTGCCACCCCCCTTCCCTCCACCACGCTCCCCTTTGGGGTGGCGACCCTTTCCTGGAGGCTTCTGCGCTGAGGCCGCAGCAACGGTCTCAACAACCGCAGCAGAGCTATCAGAGTAAGTGCACTGGGAGGGAGAACAGCCTTGAAAGATAGACATTGCCGCAGTACCGATAGACTGAGCAATACTACGCTAACGGGTCACTATCTCAGACTGGGCAGTGACAAAGGCGGTAAGAGTGAGGTCATCCGGGTGCTGACTAAGGAAGTGGTCGCGGGCTGTGGCTACGCGGTCAGGGAGGCGCGTGGCGATGAGATAAAGGGTAGCGCAGAACTGCGGCGGGAAGGCAGTGAGCTGTGCCTCAGTGCTAGCAGCGCGGTAGCTCGTCTCAAGCGCGCGGAGGTGCGTGGCAAATTCGGCGACAATGGTGAAGGACACAAGATCAGGCGACCAGCAGAGGTAGTGGCGGGGGTGGAATAGCGCGCAATGACAGCATCTAAGAAAATCTGGGCGTTCGCGACTGTGGTAAAGCGAGGACGCTTAGACAGCGGGAGCGCATGGCTGATAGCAAGCTGTGCTACTGCGTCGCGCGAGTCCCAGACGGCACGAGCAAGCGTAGCAGCAGAAAAGGCCTCACGCTCAGCAGTGGTGGGGACATCAGGGAGGGCAGCAGGGGCGGGGAAGCAGGCCATCGAGATGAACAGCCATGGAGTGACCGTCCTTGCGCTGACCTGTAAGGTAACGCCGAAGGTCGACCAGCCATGCCTCAAAGTCGGGCGCCCAACCCTCTACATGCAGACGGAGCTGTGACTCCGCCATCGCCGCTGTTGCAGCTGCTGATGGCCGCTGACAGAGCGAGGAGGACAGGCGGAGAAAGCGGTGGAGAATGGTGGAGTGTGGTGGAGAGCGGTGGAGTGCGGTGAAGAGCGGTGGAGTGTGGTGAAGTACGGTATATTGTAGTGGAGAGCGGTGGAGTGCAGTGTAGTGCGGTGGATTGCGGTGTAGTGCGGTGGAGTGCGGTGGAGAGCGATGGAGAGCGGTGTAGATAGCCGGCAGGGGAGCCGGAGCTGAAGGGAGCCAGAGCCGATGGGTCGGCACTGCGACTCGACTGCCCGGCGGCTAGCCGTTGAAGCGGGGGCCGGCTACGCTGGAGCCGGCTGGCTGAGCGCAAGGGGCCGGCTAGGATGGAGCTGGCTAGCTGGCCGGCCGGCTGGCGAGGGCCGACGGGGCGCACGGGGCCGATGGGGCACTGACGGAGCCGGTAGGGCGCTGACGGGGTCGGTGGGGCACTAACAGGCAGGCAGGGCGAGCAGGGCTAGAGGGCCGCACGGGACCGATGGGGCGCTAACGGGGCCGGTAGGGCGCAAACGGGCCGGCAGGGCGCTGACGGGCCGGTGGGGCGAGCAGGGTCAGAGGGGCGCACGGGGTCGACGGGGCTCGAACAGGGCCGTCAGGGCGCTAACGGGCCGGCAGGGCGAGCAGGGCCAGTGGGGCGCACGGGGCCGGTAGGGCAAAACGGGCCGGCGGGGCGAGTAGGGCAAGAGGAGTGCACGGGGCCGACGGGGCGCTAATCATGATGAGCGTGTTCGCACTTGACACCTCTACCGTGCCTTTGCAGCTCATTTTTCTCCAAGTGGCGTCACGGCCCTGTATCCCTACGTTTCCGAATAGTGTGAACAGGTTCAGTTCACCATATCGAACACACCCCGGTTGCAGCTTTCTTCCCTGTTGGAACTGTCGCGCATGGGTTGGGGGACCTTGTCGCAAACGTTCCGAAATCGCCCACTTTCCCGAAGGTGTTGCTTATGGTGGGTTCGTATGCAGGGCCCAAATTAGCCGGGTGAAATGCCCTGATTGCCCTGATTTTTCCTGGTGTTTTTTGGCTTGGTCTTAAAAATCAGACTCACAAATATTTTTAGGCTGATCCAAAAAGTGTAGCGAAATTTTAACCCTGACGAAAACAGAGTTGCAAGACCTGGCACTTTGAGTCTTTAGGATGTCCTTGAACCTACTCTGATACAGAAACTCTGAAATTCCGGCTAGGTCCCCCACAAACAGAGACACCCCTCCCACCCACCCTGCAAGTAAGATTTTTCGGCTAAGTCCCTCGCGCCCAGAGACAAACCGCCCACACACCTGGAACACTGAAATTTCTGCTAAGTCCTTAAAGACATCCCTCCAACATCCCCCGCAACCAATCTGAAATGGCGAAGTCCCCCACAAGAGACACTCTCCCCACACCCCACGTAACCCTTTTTTTTTGCGAAGTCCTCGACACAACATCAGACACATGGCCCACCACAGTGTGGTGACCACACCCAATCACGAGCATGTAAAAATTTCCCCTGTTCCCGCCCCTGCAAATTTGATGTCCCTCCCGCACCCAATCACATGCTGCTTATTTTCTTCCCGCTCTGCTCCCGCCCCTGCAAATTCGATTCCCCCATACCCATCCCGCTTTTCCCCCCTCCCCCGCCCCCCCCCCCCCCCACCCCCTCACATTCCCCAACCCGCGCACGCGCAATTTTGTTGCGCGCTTGTTTCACGTTTCACCTGCATTTCGCGTGCCCTTCTTTCGTGAAGCACCGTATTGTACCGTATTCCACTTCGAACTCAAAATTGAACTTGCTAAGAATGCCTAGAGTTAGACAGGGTGGCAAAAAATCTACACTTTCAGCTAAGAGTTAGTTTTTTTTTACCCTGCCAAATCAGACTTCTGAAAACTTTTACTCTAGACGTCAGGGTGAAATTTTTTTGTACTCTGATTCCTAAGAGTGGCCTAAAACCAATTTTGGGCCCTGTTCGTATCTGCCCACTTTGTAAAAAAGTTCAATGGCAATTTCGCTCTAGCAACCCAACTTTTTCAAGAGTGCCCCGACTTCAAGAGTGGCTCACTTGAAGCTCCCCCTGTGCTATTTTAGCCCATGGTTCTAAGGGCGTAATCGAAATCAGATTGTATCGGTTCCTGTGACTCCACTAGCTCAGAAGAATACCATGTAAAAGTGAACCACGTGTTTAAGGTGGCCAGGATCTAGAGTTGGTGGAACCACGAGTAAAAGTCAGCGAAAAACTTTACACCTTGTATTGGAAATGTCTGAAATGACAAGGATGATCATAATAAGTAATGCAGGCATATTTATAGTCTAGGAAGTGCCTATTCGGAATATATCTGTTCCTAGTGTATCGCGACTATTCGCGTGACATTAGTGACTGTTCGTGTGACTGAGAGTGGCATGACCAGGGCTTCATAAGTCATGACAAAATGCCCTGAAATGCTGTATATCAGGGTGTTTTTTTAGGGTCGTCCTGTTTTTTCAGCATTTGATTTTTTCTAGGCCTGAATTTTAGGGGTTCTCATTTGAGCAGGCCTGAAATATTGTATGTTCTTGTTTTGGTCACCCTGAATTATCAGCCTTAACGGATTTCCAGCCTGAAACAGAATCCTATCTGACTAGTCGAGGCAAGCTGGAGCAGCTGTTAGGGCTACCTTGTCCTTCGCCAAAATGACGCAGGTGACGCAAGCTGGAGTAGATGTGAGGGGCGTGATTGGTCCTTCGCCAAAATCACGTGGGCAGTTTGTTGCGAGCTGGAGCAGGTGTGAGGGGCGTGACTGGACCTTAGGCAAAATGACGCAGGTAACGCGAGTTGGAGCAAATGTGAGGGGAGTCCGATCCGATGTAAGGATCAGAAACCAAAAAAATGTACCTGATAAATCAGGTTTTTTTTTTTTTTTTGCCTGACAAGCATGCCCTGTCTAACATAATATGCTAGGTAACCACCCTAAAAAATTGCCAAGGTTCAACCCTATCATCTCAGCTCTAAATTTTTTCAGTACTTATCATTCAGCCTTCGAAAAATTTTACCCTGAAAAAATTTGCAACTTCCAAAACCCGACCTTGAAAACGAGGGCTCCTGATGGAGGCACCCTGTGCCAACCGCCCCTCAAAATCCAATCTGAAGCCCTGGGCATGACCCTTCAAGTTACTATATGCGCGAACCTACTGTTCTCGCGTTAACTCGCTACTACTGACGCCATCACGCGCGTCCTTCCATATGAGGTATCGCGCTACTAGTACACTATAAGTGTTTTATCAGGAGTGCATAAGTAACCTCTGTCAAGTATACTTCAACATCAAGTCATGTAAAATCACTAGCCTTGACCATCACTAGCTAGTGGAAGACTTGCATGTATAAATTCCACATGACACCATAATGCAAACCACCCATATGCCAACTTATACATATGTTGCTATGTAGAAGTTATAGGATGTATAGTTGTATATTGTTAGAGGGTACAACCAGAACGAATACATATCCCTTGTTCCACTTGTATTGATCATTCATTCATGTTGACATGGTATCATGAGTAGGTAGGTCCACCCACCCGCTTTCGCATCGCGCCCTAGCCTACCGCGCCTCGCTAGCCCCTCGCGCCCTAGCCAGCCCCTCGCGCCGTCGCTGGCCCCTCGCGCCCCACCCGGCTCCTCGCACCTTAGCAGGCCCCTCACACCCTAGCCGGCTCCTCGCACCTTAGCAGGCCCCTCGCGCCAGATTCGACCCCTCGCACCGTCGCCGGCTCCTTGCGCCTTAGCGGGCCCCTAGCACCCTCGTCAGCCCCTCGCGCCCTCGCTGGCCCCTCACGCCGTAGCCGGCCCCTCGCGCTGTAGCCGGCCCCTCGCGCCCCAACCAGCCCCTCGCGCCGTAGCCGGCCCCTCGCGCCGTAGCCGGCCCTTCGCACTGTAGCGGACCCCTTGCGCCCTAGTCGGCCCCTCGCACCCACGCTGGCCCCTCGCGCCCTTGCTGGCCCCTCGCGCCGCCGCCGACCCCTTGCGCCCTAGCCGGCCCCTCGCGCCCTCGATGGCCCCCTTGTGCCTTAGCTGGCCCCTAGCGCCCTCGTCGGCCCCTCGCGCCCTAGCTGGCTCCTCGCGCCCTCGCTGGCCTCTCGAGTAGTAGCCTGCCCCTTGAGCCCTAGCCATCTCCTAGTCGTGCGCCCGCCTGCCACCTCCCCGGCTCCTAACGTGCCCTCCTGTCCACTAGCGCTCCGCCGGCCCTTCTCGCCCCACCGGCCCTGCGCACCTCCGGCCCTCATCGGCCTGCGGCGCTGGAGCGCCCTACCGCCGAGCCGCTGAGCAACCGTGTCGCTGTGCCGCTGTGCCACCGAGCCGCTGAGCTGCCGTGACCTTGAGCCGCCGTCACGCCGAGTCGTTGTGCCGCTGTGCCGCCGTGTCGCTGTGCCGCTGTCACACTGTGCGATGGCAGACGCCATTCTTCGCTTGGACGCTAAGGGGCACGCGATCGACTTCGCCCCCTAGCTCGTCGACATCCGCCGGCACCTAGCAGGTCAGCGCCAAGGATGGACACTCTCTGGCTATGCATGTTGATGGCTTGCTTCCCCGCCCCTCTGCGCCTGATCCCCTCCCTGCTGACCCCACCACTGCTGAGAGTGAGGCCTTTGCTGCTGCTGCGCTCGCAATGACAAAGGCGGTTAGGGTGAGGTCGGCAGGGTGCTAACTAAGGAAGTGGTCGCGGGCAGTGGCTAAGTGGTCAGGTAGGCGCATGGCAGTTAGGTAAAGGGTAGTGCTGAATGGTGGGGGGAAGGCAGTGAGCTGGGCGGCAGTGCTAGCAGCGCGGTAGCTAGTCTCTAGTGCACGGAGTTGAGTAGCGAGGTCCGCTACAGTGGGGAAAGCGGTAAGATCAGAAAAGAGCATGGGTAGGATCAAGCGGCCACCAGAGGCGGAAGCAGGTGTGGAGTAGCGCTCAACTCCTGCAGTGAGGAAGTCCTTGGCTGTTCATGTCGATGGCCTGCTTCCCCGCCCCTGCTGCCCTCCCTGATGCCCCCACCACTGCTGAGCGTGAGGCCTTTTCTGCTGCTGCGCTTGCTCGTGCCGTCTGGGACTCGCGCGACGCAGTAGCACAGCTTGCTATCAGCCATGCGCTCCCGCTGTCTAAGCGTCCTCGCTTTACCACAGTCGCGAACGCCCAGATTTTCTTAGATGCTGTCATTGCGCGCTATTCCACCCCCGCCACTACCTCTGCTGGTCGCCTGATCTTGTGTCCTTCACCATTGTCGCCGAATTTGCCACGCACCTCCGCGCGCTTGAGACGAGCTACCGCGCTGCTAGCACTGAGGCACAGCTCACTGCCTTCCCGCCGCAGTTCTGCGCTACCCTTTATCTCATCGCCACGCGCCTCCCTGACCGCGTAGCCACAGCCCGCGACCACTTCCTTAGTCAGCACCCGGATGACCTCACTCTTACCGCCTTTGTCACTGCCCAGTCTGAGATAGAGACCCGTTAGCGTAGTATTGCTCAGTCTATCGGTACTGCGGCAATGTCTATCTTTCAGGGCTGTTCTCCCGCCCAGTGCACTTACTCTGACAGCTCTGCTGCGGTTGTTGAGACTGTTGCTGCGGCCTCAGCGCAGAAGCCTCCGAGAAAGGGTCGCCGCCCCAAAGGGGGGCGTGGTGAAGGGAAGGGGGGTGGCAGTGGGGAGGGTGGCCGCGGTGAGGGCGGGGACGGTGGTTAAGACGAGGGGACCAGGGCTGGTGTCCCAGAGCAGTCGCAGCAGCAGACAAAGCCTTAGCAGCACCAGCAGCAGACTCAGCAGCCGCAGCAGCTGCAGCAGCCGTCGCAGCAGCAGTAGTCGCCGTGGGGACCCCCCCCGCCGTGGTGGACTGGCGGCGCTAGCGGCGGTGATCGTGGGGGGGGCGGGCGCAGCTCGGTGTCGGGTGCTAGCTCCAGCATGGTCACCTGCCAGTACCAGCTTCAGACCGGCCCTCGCCGCGGCACTGTCTGCCTCCAGCCCGGCCACACCACCGACCAATGCTACCACCACCTGGACGACCTGTTCCGCCACCGCTTCGGTCCTACGTCGGACCCTCCGGACTGGTACGCTCTGGCTCACCATCGTGTGCTGGTCTTTGAGCTTGGCATGGATCATATTAGGAATGCTATGTCTGTCG